AATAATTTTTAATCTATAATATTGAAGACACTTATCAAAATACAAAAGTTTTATTGTTACAAAATATAATATAAGCAATACTAGACAGAAGTACATTCTTTAAGAATATCTTAGTAAAATAATTGTTTGAATGAAAAACATTCATCTTATTTACTATTTTATAGCAAAAATGTTCACAGTAGAAAAAATTTCTTCTTATCTTAGAATAAAAGAATAGAATATGCTACTTGTAGTAATATGACATATTGTTTCAGTTTAAGATTTTTGCCATTCTTACTAAGTATTCTATTTTATTAAAAAGGACAAAAATTGCAATCTTCGCTAAATTTCTTAAAGTAATATCAATTCTGAGTTTCAAAAACATTTAACAAATCTGTATTATTTTAACTTCCATTTAAATGTAATAAAATAAAAAAGTAAAAAATACATTAAAACGCCAATATAGTAATTAATGGTATCAAAAATATGTTGGGAATATTAAGTACCGAAAGAGCTTCATTGTCTACACGACAACTCGTTGAAAGTCAATCCATTTTGTGGTTCAAATTTTTAGATAAATCTATTAGATTTAAGTAGTCCGTACAATTTTCAGCCAGAATCCTTTCTCACTTGTCGTTACAAGACTCCGCCTACTGAATTTTATCGGCGTAGTTGTCCTTTCACAGGCTTCCACTCGATGGTTTCTTAGAAACGAAATTATCCCTACTTTGATTTGCAGCAGAGCAAATCGCATTCCTGAAATTGCAGTTTTATCTCGTAAAACGTTATCTGATACAATAGATTGTGGAGTAATGCAATACTACCGATATTGACAAATCTTGTTATCATATCAATGGACAGGTGATGTCATTTAAAAATGTTACTAATATCTCTGTTATGAGTATGATCGATCAATTTGTAAAGCATTAATAATATTAAATAAAAATTCCAAGTATGAATTATAGTGAAAATCATTGAATAATAATCAACGAAAAATATAAAATAATATGACATTCAAATTCCATACATAATATATATCTATATACAGATATTATATAGTTTAATTTTTATTTAAGCTCTATACCATACAGTTACCACCTTTAACAACAACACGAAAAAAACAAAAACAATATAAACAAATTACCTATGCAGTTGCGCGGTCCTTCTCCAAACGGGAGGTACGTGTAAGTATGCCTCGTTCGTTTATTTTCATCCGTGAATCTCTCAGGATCAAACGTCGCGGGACTCGGATAGTACTTTGGATCATGATGAAGCCCGTAGATCGGTATGATCACCCTCATACCTGCCGGTAATTCGATTTTTGTGCCTGGTATTTGATACTGATATTCGCATTTGCGGGACAGAAGCGAAGCAGGAGGATACTTTCTCAAGGTTTCTAAAACAAATTTTCAAACATAAATTACCCCTGCTTTATTTCCTAGAAAAATCAGGAACTCATTCTTGTATTCTGTTAAAAATGTGTAATGAAAGGAAATTTATATTTTTATTGACTTTCATACAATTGGAAAAAATCTTTTTAGGGTATTTAATTTTCTACAGTAAATTTTTTAGCGTGCTCGATTTCTTATCCACAGCGTAGCTGTGAAAGAAACCATAGGTCAAGGGATTAAAATACCAGGTTTGCATTTGACGAATCTATGCTGTTGAGTATACGATGAAGGCAGCAATTGATACAAAATATAATAATCTAGAATAGAGATTTAAACAAAAAGAAATCGCGTAGATTTCGAATACTCGAAGCTCGAAGGATCTCTCATAAAATGGTAATTCTAGCAGGAAGAATATACGAAACGAGTGTTAACTTTTACCTGCAATAACCGTGTCAAGATATTTCATGTCCTGGACAGCATCATAAGTTAATTTGCCATCTCCGTTGTCAATAGCGTCATGAATATCGCGTCTCGTCTTTTCTTGAAGTTCACTGTTCAGCGCGAGTTCATAAAGGCAAAACGCGATTGTGTTCGATGACGTTTCATAACCGGCAGCGAAAAACACAAACGCCTGTGCGGCAATACTGTTCTCGTTCAGTTCTATAAATAACGATTCATGTGAGATATTGTGACATTGGATAAAGCATCCTCTCTTATTTGGAACATTCATTCCATTTCCTCGTAACCCGTCCTCTCACTGAATGTAATCGATCGTCTGATTAACGCGAAATACACGATTTCATTCCAAGCGAGAGATTCTAGCGGCAGTCGTGAATAAAGTACTTACTGTCAATTTTATCTTGATTAATTCGCTACGAAACTATACCGTCTAGAGCAATGTATCACGGCTACACTCCGGCCGTCTTACCGACAACTTATATTAACTGTAGTATTATCAATTACGTAACGTTACTCGATTAATAGAATTGAGTCGTACGAAATTGATACAGCGCGTTATGAAAGTTATATTTAGGACAAGTTATCCTTATACATTTCTGTTTACTTGTTGGTCGAATTGTATGTTAACGTAATTAAATGGAATACGTATTCAGAGTCTTCATCGTTAGTGAAAAAATACTTATTCCAACAAAAATACGTTTGGATTGGTAAAACGTTCTTTTGCTTTTGTTGGGTTACCAGTTGAGAAACTGTATAGGCATACGAATTTCATGTTTACTCTTTACATTAACAAATGTTCTGGTAAAAATATGTACTTTATAATTGACGATGGTTATCGTATGGTGATCTTTTCATTTGAACTTTTTAACGCGTTCAAAATATTTACTAAAGTAAGTTCTTCATTCACAACCTGGAAGGTAGTTTTTGTTTTCCAAATACGAATAAGGAAGTATGCAGGGAATTTCAAACGTCGGTTTTCAATGATCCACTACTACGGTGATTCCCAAATTTTGTTACTGTATTGAAAATAAAACAATATATCATAAATGCAAATTTTCCATTATTTTCCAAATTAAGATTAAACCAGATATAGAATCTAGCTCAACAAATTTTTTAAATCAATTCCCACACAACAAATCAAAATGATTAAGTTGTATAAAATACACAAGCATACAGCAGCTCCATTTAACACTAACGATGTATAAATCTTAAAAAGCTAATTTTAAAACGTAGATTCCTTATTTTATGAATACTTTGCATAGTTTCGATCTTTGTTTGGGCCGAGCACGTAAGTGGATCACGGTTCAACAACATTCTCTTCTGAGGCAAGCCACATATCTACGCGTGGAGCAATCTACGCGAAAGATAGAAACATTCGAATACGGACATGAAGCATGTTTCTTCCATTAGTGCATCGCCGTAATCACAGTTTTTCAACCCGACCTTAACCAAAACCAATTTTCGCGATGCCTTGAATCAACGTACCTATCTCTTCGGTTGTTTCAACATCCTCTTCGTTGTAGATTTGCCCATTTCCAGTTTCGTTCTCCAAACTGCCCTTGTTCTTCAGTTCGATCAGCAGGTCCATAAAGTCGTGCCTTTTGACAAGATGCTTTTGCCTTTGGTTGATCATTTGCAGCACGACGGTCTTGAAAAATTTCGTTACGCCTGGATCGATCACCTGGACACGTAGAAGCTTGTACAGTTTCGGTATGGCAGTCCTTAGCATCCTCCACAACGTAGTCTTGTAACTCGGTTTAGAGAGTTTTTTCGCGGCTCTATGGAACTCGGACTCCTCATCGGTGAGAGCGTTTATCTGTATGCCGAACGCGCAGCTACCGATGACGTCTATCGTAAATTTGGCCGCCAATTCGCGAACCTCTAGCGGCCGATCGGCTCTCGAGGACGCATCGATCAATTTCTGAAATTCTTCGCTGCACTCTGCCAACAGGTAGAACATTCTCTTCAGCTTGACGGAGGAGAAGGCTGGAGTCAGTTTCGCTCTCAGACTCTTCCATTTCTTGCCCTCGAGATTGAAGAGGTGAGCAGATAATGGGTCCTGGTAGAAAAACAATGTTCAACGTAATTACCGGGATGGTAGATTTATTTTGAAGGTACTGACAATTTAATGGAGTACCTCGAAATAAATGGAAGTAGTTTGCAACCGTTCTTAAATAAGATTGTTCAATATTCATAAAATAAGTGGTTGTTAGCAAGTACAAAGAAAACACTTAATAAAACGGATGAGAAGATAATCTTGTTAACAGCAATGTATTTTCACGTATGCTTCTTGAAAAAGATACTGAACGTTGAAGATAAATTTCATTGTTCTTTCCAATAATTTCTATTATTTTTCTTTGAAACATAGGCTATTCCTACATCCATACTGTAATACTTAGTGAATAGTGTAATGCTTCAGTATTTATTTATATTTTAACCGTTTGAGTCCCGCGGGTTTTGCAAAAACCCTCTCGAAAACTGCCAAGCGGCGCGATCGCGCTTCTTTCGTTTCGATTAAGAAACTGAATTACGCTTTCCTATTTTTACAAAAACAAATTTTAAATAATGCGATCGTTACATTTTCCAGTTCTAAGCGGGTAATAGCAAAAATAAAAGTAAATAATTAGAACGAAAAGGGATAAATAAGATTCATCTGATTCTATGAACTGATAGACTAGCACTTTTAGTTAGTGTAATGAAGAATTGCGATCGCGCCGCTTAGGATTCAAGTGGTTAATAATACTTCAATATTTTACTAACAATTCGATAAACATTCATACCATAATCATACCTTCGTCCTTCACCAGCTACAAACAAAAATTACCTGAGAGTTCACCGGTATACCGCGGTTCACGAAGCACGAGAAATTCTTCACGCAAACGTTCTTGATCAAGTCAGGATCTCTTAGGATCAGCACAGGCGCTCTAACCCGAAAGACCCCAAAGAATCGCTCATCCTTGAACCAGTCGTACATCTCCTTGACACCTTCCGGCAGGGATTTTCGAAATAATAGCATTGGAGCGAAATTCCCGAAGAGCACAGTCGGTTTGCGGAAAGGCACACCGCGGCTCGTCCAAAAGTCAAAGGTCGACGTGAAGAAACGGTAAAGGATGGCTAGGAACAGTCCTACCAGGAATAGCTCTAAACATCCCATCTTGTGCAGTTAGAAACGCTAGTCTGCTTCAATTTATGATTTTTGCACCGGACTGCACCGGATATCGGTCGAACCGAGCTACCATAGCGACGCACGGTACCGACGTCAATCAGAAAACAATAGGGGGCTTTTACGGCAGCAACAGCTCGAATTACGCAGCTCGATGCTCCGATCGCATCCTTGGAACTGTTTATGGAAGAGGCATAATACACCTGCCAGTGATTGCTCACCGTTCTCCTATTTGCATTCCCACGTTTCACCAGGAGAAATTTTAATGATGCCTGCTGCGATGTGATCTCCGAGTATTTACTCTTCGGAGATGACTCGATGTCTAGCGAGACAGCACACTGGTTTCTTTATACTTTTCACGTTTCACTATATTTTTCCTTGGTTAGGTGTAACCGTACTGACAAATTGACAAGTGAGCATCGAAAATGAAATGAGAACAGACAAAAACTGATCAACTAGTCATCATTTCGCATTCCCCAGCCTAGCCATCACAAGTGATCTCCCAACTGTACCCTTTTACCGACGTGCTGATCGCGCGTGATTAGCGGGTCTGTATGCAAATTATGCGATTTACTGGGCTTGGTGTCCCGTTCGTGGACACTTTGATCGATTATATGTCGAATCACGTGAACAACAGAATGGAAGTCGTCCGGTATTTACATTTTTCGTGCGGTGACGCGCTCTTTGTTACTATTCCTGGGAAAAAGTGTTCGATCGAATAAATTGATCGGTCGTCTGCGGCGTGTCCAACCTAATAAATGTTATTCGGAGTTATTCATATATATTTAATGAAATATGATATATTGATAAATATATTTGATTATCATTAACCACGAAATATGAAATTAGAAAGCGAAAGAATAATTCGGAGCGGATTATACTATCACGCTCAGGGATTAGAGAAAGTGTCCGGTCACGAGGAATATCATTTCCTTTGTTTGGAAAGATAAAAACGCTTTTGAATCACTTGCCTTTGAACGATGCTTCTTATTGAACTGTTGAAAATTTATTATTTGTAACCTGCAATGAAAATCGAGCAATATAGGCTGCAGATAATTTAAAACGAAAAAAATTGAAAAAGAAATTTGATAAAGGATATCTGCGTTTCGTGAAATAAATGATTGTGAAATTCCTTTCTATTTTAATAATCCGAACCACGTATCAATTTTGTTCTTTTTTAAAATATAAACGGGATTTTATCAGTCGCACGTCTATAAACCGAAAACGAGCAAATTTTATATTACTTAAAAATGATTGCCAAGTTTCTACTCATTTCATTCGTACACTTCGAAAAGACCATTTAATTTGTTAATACACCGAAGAATACCTTTTATGATGAAAATAAGTTCCATTTGATTGAACACTCACAAGAAACATATAAAAGATTGAAATAGCGTTTCACGTCGGTTTTTACCATTTAATACTCTCCTTATCGCATTATGGATAAGCTAATCCTACTAAATGAACATTCGCGAGATTAGTTCGGGCGATTAAAACATCACTGGGGATTTACGTTTGCCGACATTCAATTCGCACGAAACTGCCGTTTAAAATTATTTGAACTGCACATGTTAGAAAGCATTTTACACCTTTTAAGAATATAATCTCTCTTTAAGTACCAATTTTAGTCCCTCGAGAAATACGTTTTATAATTGAATATTCGATAAACGCACTCATAAAATCGACGTGAATCATCGAAAAACTTCTATGCGTAACCGTTTCAACCACAGTAATTAATAAGACAAAGCCACACAGAACAATGAACTCATTTACATGGTACAACGACGAACGTATTAAAACATCACTCCGCGTTCAAGTTCCGGCGCGTCAATCTCGACCCTACAGCGTGGTACTCTTCGAACCCCGTTTATGTATCTGCACACATTAATGCACACTTTCTATTGCTCAGCAGTTTATACAGCACTCGGCGCCTCTAATGCGATTATAGAAACATAACCGGTTCAATGGAGCAAACCCGTAAAGTACTCGAACGATTGAACCTTCACACGTGTCCCTGGATTCCTCTAACATTCGTGTCTTTTGGACCACAGCGCAACACTAGCCCAATATTTTCGGTCGACCTTTATTTTTTACGTAACCCGACGGATGACTTTTATCATGTGGCACGCACTAGCCTCTTATTAAACGGAGGAGCTATTATCTTTTGGAAGTCATAAATAGCAGCGAGTGCAAAGTGGCCGGCGATGGCTAAGCACACTTCGAATACACTGCACGAGTTTTGGGGACAACAAGAAGATAGGAGGAAGAGGCAGTGGAGGGAAAAGAAAGGACGGTGGGGGGAAAAAAGCGACCCGTATAACGCAATGCGTATCGTTCTCACTGAAAGACTGACCTCTTGTCGACTGGAAACTATGCACGCTCATAGGCGAAACTCTGCTCTACATCTCTCTTAACTGTTAGGTCGTTCCGACTTTTGCTGCTCGTTCGTTTTCGAGAGATTCTCTTTCCCACTCCCACGTGACGACTACCGGAAGATATATCGGTGTCCTAGACCCGGTTAATCATTTCACTCTTTTTTTCTTGTTCCCGGCGCAACTTCTCGTCTCGGCTGGACCACGTGTGCGTGTTAAGGACCCTTGTAGAAAGACCCCCTACCTTGCCAGTTTTTGAGAATTAATTTCTGTTGCATCTTTTTGCTGTTTTATAGTTTGAAAGTATATATCTAGAGTATTATGGAAGATTTCAAAAATTGTTAGTGCTGCGGAGAAAATTTGTTACGAATTCTTTTCGAAATTAGAATTATAGGAAGGTAGCTAAAGTCTCTTCATAATTTTACTTGCTCAAATAAAACTGTTGTTACAGATCTTTATCGTTGGTATCTCTTGCATGTTAGCAATTACGATACGATGTTCCTCGTGTATCACTCCTCGTGTACAAATAGATATGTTTCAAGTAAACTTTTTATATGTTGTCATAGTTCATAATTTCTTTATTTAGCTAAAAATGACTGGTCTTTAAAATAAAAATTTTAGTAACACCTTATGTATCAGCAAAAGGATTTATTTTTAAATAATTAGTATAAATAAATGTAAATTATAAATATTTCCCTGTCAGCTTGATCTTTCTTACCTATGCTTTTAAATGAAAAAAATGTAATGGCACTATATTGGGTTTGAGCTCCTACTCCGTTCCTTTCTTTACCTTAGTCCCTTTATGATATATGAGATTAGGTTACCGAAAAAATACGACCATAATGAATCAGAACTCGTTGGCATGATAGACACTTAGTTCTTTTATTTTATCATTTGATCTCTCGAGCACTTTTAATTCAGTGGTGCTGGATTAATGATAGGACCGAATACTGATCACTTGATCATCAGTATAACAAAGACTACATCCGAATTCAAAATTCCGGTTTCAATAAAATTTCGTGGAATGATTTATTAAAATCATAAATTTTTTATTCTTATTGTATTGTAATTTATATTGTTTTCTTTTTTTATCAGTAATTTAAAAACTGATTTAATAAAAATAAAAAAATATAAATAAATAATAAGGAAAAAAAGGAAAAATCAAGAATTATACGATAAAAAAAATATAGTAATTTTGAAAAGATTCCATACAGTTTCTAATTTTACTATATTCCTTCAGTTCCTTCGAAGCAGTAAAAGTAGTAAATCCGAAAATATTTCATACTCCTACGAGAAGTGATTAACTGCATAATTCCGTTTTTAGAAAGCTTATGTCAATATAAGATTGCACAAGTTTGAATAATATTTATCTTCACTTAACTTATACGTTATGAATCACAAATAAATATATTACTCTGACATACTGCTTATGGCATCCAAGATACGTGTAAACTTATCGTGCACGTATACAGATGCAATCGAAGATTCACCGCTTTAGAAGTTGATTATAATGTAGAAATGATCAGAATTTATGATAATTGTTCATATTGCTTTACACACAATTATAAATGCATCTCCATACAGTTTCAATTCATAATTATGCACTTTTAATTAATTTTTTTTATATTTTAACTTATATGCTTGTAACATTCAAATTAATTTAATATTTCTTTTATATTAAAAATGAAATTTTACAATCCAACATTACTATTTTTTTAACACAAAAACTTATTAAAACCGATAATAAATAATTTCCTGGCATCAACAATTAAAAAGAAATATGAATTAACATTTTACTCACATTACTCACTTTACTCACTTTACTCACTTTACTCATTTTACTTATTTTACTTATTTTACTTATTTTACTTACTTTATTTGTCTTAGCAATTATAAAATATATAAATTTTAGATCTTTTTACATTTTTAAAAATTTTAATCATAAGGTATTATTCTTCTTAACGGGCCTTCGTTTTTTAAGAGACAATTTTATAGTAATAAAACATAAAAAATATTTATTTTTATAAATTTGATGAATAGTTTAAAGATACTTAGTTTACTCTTATATTCTGTTAAGTACCACATAAGCTCTGTCGAGACACATAAAAACTATTTATTATGTTAATATAACATAATATATTATAATAATATATTAAAAAGTAAAGATATTGTATCGTATCAAAAGGAACAAATTAATGCCAGATACCTACCTGTACGACGATCGATAAAAAAGGGACATGTATTGTATGATCGATGAAGGATAAGATAGACTGGATACCCAATGTAAATTTGAATCACATGACTAGGGGGTGAGTTACACAACCCGCTTTCCATTTTTACCGCGTTTACAACCTTACCAACACAATACAAATAAATAAATAAGAAACGTGCTCCTTTTTATTTTCTTTTTACATTAACATAATACACAAATATTCAATTAAAAAATAAGCAGCAGTAAATATGATGCAGTTTTCGTTTGTTTAGTTCGTTCTTCTATCTGATTACCACATTTTGCCGTAGAAAATTCTTTTACAACCATATAATTACATAATGTATTAAACGTAATAAGATATATATTATATCCATATACCTTATCTGTAGCTATACAAGTGAAATAATTTGCCACATAATATATAGAAAATATCACTTATGCTTTACATAATAGCATAGAGCATCAGAGAGAACAATACCTTATTTTGGTATTATGGAACCAAACAGTATAACTACATAATTAGTAATAAAAATAATATTTGATAATTGTAGCAACAATTATTGTACATAAGTTACAAATTAAATTGTACATATAAAATTATTATCAATTTGGTTTACGTATAAATAAATCTGTGCATAATTAAATTACATTTTTAATAAAAATTAGGTACGGAATGCTAGTCTATCGTCAGTGTTGCTTTTTTCGATGATCTACCTTATTTCCTATCGGTAATCACAGGAGACACACCTTATCCTGTCATATCGACTGAAACTAATATTGCACATCAGCGCTATATGTGATGGGAATTAAAATCAAAAATATTGATTTTTGAAATGACAATCAGTACAATGTTGTCGATGTAAAAAATTCTTTATTCATTAAATTGAACGTCGTAACATTTCACTATTAAATGAATGCAATAACTTAAGTTAGGATATAACTTCGCCCGTTTCGGTGTTTAATGATTTGCCAATATTGTAATCCAAGGGCGCCTAAGTAACTGGCAGCTCGCGTGTTCCATAGTGACATTCCCCTCACGAAAATTTACCCTTTCCATACCCACTTTAACCTGTTTGTATTGAACACTACATAGAACAGCTTAGGTGCAGTCTCGGGGAGCTCCTACAATAGAAGTAGTGGGGAAATGCTGTGTATAAGTTACTAGCACAAGGGGAATCAGTTAGACATCCCAGTTGTAATCGATGCGTCTCTATGGTGTTTTATCGCATTTACTACTTGGTTAGTTTCTATTATTTAGTTTGATGTAGTTCTCCTATTCACCATTCTCTACACGTAAAAAAGTACAAAACCTTTCATTGTTTACATAGTCAATAAATCAGAACATGTGACACGAAGTCGCGTAATATGTATATCTATCAATATGTCTGTGTTGGATCTCTAATATTTATATTGGTGTTTATTCTCTTACATTAATAATTTCGCATTCTTTTTTATAATCAAATAATTACTCGATCTAATAAATTATTTAAATGTGGCATAGAAGACTTTTTCAGTGGAACTTACAATTCAAATTCGAGGAAATTTCGCGCCGCGATGAATTTACGTTCTCGCTAACGTGTGGCGTGACAATCGAATTGTACCGGACATACTGCACCCGAATTTATACCGCCATATTGTCTCTCGTGTGCGAGAAAAAACATTGTGGTCACATGGCGAAGTTTTCTATAAAAGCTGAAGAAAGTTGATTGTTCGGTGTGCTCGGAAATTCATTGTACTTATTCGTTGGACCTATACAGAAGATCGAAGAATAATTAAACGTCGAATGACGCGTAATTACACAGGTACGTCTACCATTTTTCTGCAGACCTCGTGTTCGTACAATTCGCCTAGCGGCTTTTCTTTATTATCTTTTACACATCGCTTCACAAAACTGATACGTTCTCGAAAATGATTCACAGCGATATATAGTTTGCTTGTTCAGTGAGCAAAATTCGTTGTTGTATCGTTCGAAGATGATTTTTAGGACATGACTCATATGGAGGCTGCGGTTATTTTCTCGTTGGATCGCGGACGCCTAAACGAAATTTAGCTGATCACAATATGGGTATATCATTCTAATACAGACAGAATTCAAGTGCTTGAATACACGTGACGTATTCTAGGCGTTATTTTGTTACAGTTTGTTTCGTGTACTGGGTGTTCTCTTTCATTCCCAGAAAAACGCGTCTCGTGTATCAATTCTTTTCCTTTTCGTAACTAAAATATTGCTAATTGACATGAGATAATAGACGACATCTGGAAATAATGAGTTCGTGGAACGTTCAGCGGCCGTTAACCTTCTTGCCACGATTAATATTTCGTGCATGGTCTTATTCGTGTATTTACTAAGTTGACATCCGTGAACTAGAATACATATTGCAACTTCTACTACGCGTAATTTAAACAAATAGTAATGTTGATAAAAACGACACCAAAAATTCGTGATTTTTTCACAAAGAAAAGTATTCTCTTGGATATCCTGTATTTATTACTTGTGAACTATACCCGATGAAATCTGTCGAAAACAAATCGTTCGGGCACGTATGCGCATGAAGCGTTGAACGTTCAACGCAGCTATGGTGGTCCCTCTGTTGTTCCTCCATCTATGTACGGACATTTAAAGGGTCAACAGACTGTAGAGTCGCTTTTAGTTACGTGCTATTTCTAAGATGTATCCGTTCGGTATCCCACCGCCTCGCTTTCTAAGGCGGTTGGCCCTGAATATGGCATTGGCTATTTCCGTGTATACTACTGGAGTCATCATTTAATTGTTCGTCGATAGAGCCACGTGATAGGTTGCCGGAAAAATAAATTTGTTGTTGCAGGATTATTAGTAAGCCTGTTCGAAGTTACCGAAGTAATGGAAATATTTATGTGGAATGGCGCGAACATTATTAAGAAAGGGTATTGGTAAATAAAAGCAAATAATCTGTCATTGTGTAGATTATTGCTAATTCACAATTAAAATATCGCGAAAGTTCTATTACTTCGTGGTACTGTATATTTATCTTACTGCTCCCTGGCATGATAGTAATTTCCAAAAATAATTCTTGAATATTTATTGTGAAATAACGTTCACGTAATTCGCCGATGGAATTCATGAACACTTGTATTTGTGCTACATCACACTCGTAGTGTTGCAGACAAAATAAACTTTCAAGCCTTTTACATTCTGCACTTCACTTGTTCAGAAAAATAGTAATAGTGAAATTACTGGTCGAAACGACATGCGTAAGTGAAAATTCACATAATCATCAATATACAGTATGAATTGATGACACGTATATATTTTTGATAAATGTTTATTGCGAATGCTTATACAGTCAGAATCTTGAAAATTCTCTGTTTATCGTTTAAAATATAATCGGCAACACTGGTGTTAAGACCTCAGTAGTAAATAAATAAACATTCACGCACATGGAAGGTCGAACGTATAATTAAGAAAGTTGAAATAGAAGATCTCTTACGATTCACCTTCGATGGATGGTGGTTATCAACACACATCTACTATCAACACTACAAATACAAAGTAGATAGGACCCAAACATCTTGTAAGTCGCATTAATCTCTAGAGATAAGAAGCACAGCCGACTCTCCTTCCCAAGCCTATGAACATAAGGATAACGAAGGGCACTCAGTTATCGACCGATTTCATTTACTTGATACACATATTAAGCGACTCTTTAACCTTATTAATATTCGAATTTGAATGGTCGTATCGGAATCTCGAACTCGTACTCATCGATATCTCGCGATCGTTTCGGTCGATGTCTGGTTTTATACAAACGTTACACAAGGCTGTAACAGTTATTCAATTTTGTCATCAACAATTTATATCATACTCGATGCATTCACAACTTTTAATTTTTGAAGCACCTTGACCTCTGCTCTAGCTGATCTTTCACACATTGGATTATAATGTGTCTCTTCCTTTACCACATTTTCTATGTTTGATGAAACTTAAACACTGTTCATAGAAAATATTGTTTGATAAAAGCAATATCATTGACCATTTAGTCCTGAATTTTCCATGATTGGACAGTGGAAATATTTTCGTTAGTGCTTCATGAGAATAGTATGGTTTCTTTATTGTCCCTTTCGGTTGCGTGGCTTGTCCTTCTCTTGGACTCCTCTTCGTCCTCTCGTCGGTCCCCTCTCGGCTACTCTTACCGATGCCTGGTTACTTCATCGTTCTGCGTACAGGTTGGACATTCCAAGAGCACGTTGAACCACGGTCACCTTTGTTTCTTGCATATCTCCGCGTCTTCTATCTGCTTGAGTAAATCCGCGAGTTAGATGGGTGCCTCCCCCTACGTCGACGAATAAACCAATAATAACGGAACAAATTGAAGCGGTGAGCCATCGCGACGCATCTCGTCACGAAACGCCGTTCACAAGCGTGTAGCGTTTTAACCGTTCAAGGACTGACGTGTCCCTCACGATCCTCGCCGAAAGTACGAAAAGCTCGTTTCGTAGTTCGTCATAGTAGGTAACAGTTAACAGAAAAAATATAAATATCATAATTTTAAATACTTAAATTGTTCAATGAAACGTACGTTGCACTGTACACAAGTTAATCCAGAAATAATAATAAACAGTATTGCGGTCCTCGGCACTCAAACGCCTAACCCTTTGCCATATAATGACGTGTGGGACAAGTGTTGAGGATTTCTAGCTCAGTTTAATCAAAATCAATGTTATTTCGTTATATGTAGCTCCGAGTAAAAAATTATTTTTCTATTATCAATGCTTCACCTTTAAAGCAAATGTGCACTTAACAACGAACAGAAAGTTTCTTCTCGTCGTAAATTAACTAATAATTGATATTTAATAATTCAATTAAAAAATTAATTAACACGTTGATTGTCATAACGGCCACTTACGACCTACTGTTCTGAATTGCTTGAAAATAATGATAACATGTAAGATGATTGATGTTAAATAAAAATATTTAATAACGTAAATTGATAGAAGCGTAATGTAAGGATTATGATGCCAAATAATTAATAATTCTTCTTATTCATTTTTGTTACGAAAGAATAAGTGTTATGTAAAACGCTCAAGATTTCCGTGGTAGTTAACGTGTTAATAAATAAAGTAATTTATAGTCGCGAAGAGAATCGTATGGTGAGGAGTTAAAGCCCATCCTTATGAAGTCTGCCATGCAGGTATATCATTTTCAGAACGATGAAAGGATGTTGCGAACGATCGGAATACGGTTCGTTGTATCTTGGAGATGTGGTGAGGGGACCTAGATACAGTTCTCGTGATCCAAATATACTCATATCCGGGTATTCCAGATATTATCTGTCCTCGAATTTCATAAGTGGCCACGAACAGCCCGGAGCCATTAAGGACGCTTAAACTGGCCCGTTAAATACAACCGTATTGTCCTGGCCTGTTCGCACACTTTATATTGTGTAATCAAAGGTGTATTAACCTCCGCTGTGCTGACCGCTGTACAGACAACATGGACCCATAGCTCATTCTCGCTTGTACAAATATTTTCAATGTAGCTCTCATTATTTTATCGTACCACTTTCATTTCCGAGGAAAATTTTAGCAACGAAACGATCTGTTGCATTCTTCAAGTCTATTTGCTCCAAATACCTGCCCGACTTTTAACATTACGTCTTTTGTTTTATCATCAAATTGATCACATCCTTATTCTTTTTCTAAGATAATTTGAATTTAAGAACATTATTAAATACTTGTTCCTGCCTGTTCTTATTTTTGGCGTAATGCTTCAAACGTATAGGTACATTAAGGAGTACACTAGGGTTGACAATACAGAAACCATTAAAAATTCAAGAGAGAATTGTGGGGGGGGTCTTTTTTTTCAAGATAATATAAAATGTAACAAGCTCGTGTGTGTATAATACGTGACAAATATCAATGATAAAAGAACCGTGAACATAAATAATATTCTCGATCGAATCAAACGAGTCGGAAACTGTACTTTTCGAGGCTCGTTTGCCTCATTAGCGTTGTAACAATATACAGCTATGCATGCGTAACAATATACTCTATAAACAGATGGCGAAGCGATTCTAGTGCAGTTGGGTTCGAATACACTCAGGGCTAAACGAAGAAATATAACTTTGTCGTTTTGTTAGGTTGAACATATTGATCAGGCGTCCAATGAATGAACGATCGTCTGCCTCCTTTTCTTTTTATTCGAAATTTTTCTTTCACGAGATTTCAAACGTAACCTACTTCCTCGAGCGTCCACTCGCCTGTCCCGATCTTCACCGGACAACGGTTACCGGTTTCGTTTTAATTGAACTTTTTGTTTTTTTCGTTCACCGCGTATCCCTTCTCCCTTTCGAGCAGCCCGGACCTGAAATCATGTTCCCGAGTGATCCCGGCCGATCACCTTTCTCGCTTTCGTCCCTTCGAAAGAAAACCAGCGACTATTCGTCGGTCGTTTGTGCATCGCACGAAATTATTCGATGCACGTGAACGATTAGGATAAAGTATTTATTACGTTCGGATGTTCCTGCTGTAATATATTTAACAACTAGCACAGCGTGAAAGTTCCCTCAAATAATAAATTATGGTAATTTTGTATACATAACATCCGGATTTACGTTGCTGCGCGAATATCAATGAAACATTGCCAAGAAGATAACGGTGTATTAAGTAATAACAATTGTCCCTCTTCGGTATCCACACGTAATATTTTCTTTATTCGTATTCATGCAGCTGTGTTTAAAGATAACACAAAATTTTATGTGCAGTTCAATGATTTAATAATGATAATGTTCGAAAGTATGTTACTCAATAGATATCCGTAATTAATTTTAGGTTTAAAATGAAATGATCGGTATCAGGTTAATTGTATCATCGGTATCTCATCAGTCTTCGAGTGTAAGTGTTATAAATCTATACTTCGAATTAAATACTCAAACGTAACTTGTTTATCCGTATCTTATCTATTTTGTATATTTGTTCGTTTAATTTTTTACGATGCAGTTTTTGAAAAATAATGTTTCTGCAACATTCAAAGATATTTTCAAGAAATACTGATAAATATATGTTTCTAATATTCTAGACGATATCAGTAAAATGTTCTTAGTATTTCGTATTCGATGGATGCGAGAAGGCTGTTCTTCTGTCTTTGTAAGATTACTATTTTGTTGGAAAGGTAATTACATTATACTAAATGGAATATTGATAATCTGATGTAACAATTACTATGTTGTTACTATTTATTATCACTGTATATTTACACTATCGCTGGCACAACAATCTTATCTGTGAAAGTAATCACACTATAGCCACAAACAAATAATAGTTTTATCACCGATTAATGCTCTTGAGCTGCACTTATGTAAGCGCACTATTAATTATATTATTGCTTCCTTTGATTTGAGTGCAATCTGAAATTTCGTATCCACGCGTTCATAAATATATTCTATATCCAATCCTACAATTCAATTTCTACTTGTATGACGAACGTGACTATACGTTTCATGTAAATTAACGAACAGTTATTATCATGTTGTGTACGGTCACGTGTGAATGAATTGCAAATACTGGTGTGTATCCATTGCGTATTTTGCATTCACAGTTCATCATTATCGCACTAATTGTAAGAGCTATGGAACCTTCTTTCTTATGCAATAGTTATAGTACAATCGTGGATTTACATTTTACATAAAATTATTTGCACAATACAAATTATCATAATGCTTGCAACAAATTCAAAATAAATTGAAATTGTATTCAATTATTTTAATCCTTTTCATTTAAAAATTGTAGAATTTTAGTTTACAATTTTGTTAAGACTCTTCGTTATTGCCGCTGTTTCATATCAAAAGTTTTGAGATGTTTTAATGATCATAGGTACGTAACTTTTCATAGCAAGTTCACAAATGAAATCCATTACCTATTGGTTGTTTAGATGGAAAAGGCCGTGTTCATGAAATACGCGTTTTTAATATTGCGCGTAGGTAACTCGAATTCCTTGGAACCACCAGTTCGGCGCGGCAACCTGTTTGCTCGAGATTGTGTCCCACGTTAACGGCCGTGGACGAAAACCTATAATTTTATAAGGCGTTACGCAACATCTTCCTTTGGTCACCAATTTTGTTCCTTTTACTTTCAGCAAGGATTTCACGATAAATTTGAGCCACTGGATTTCTTAATCGCATTCCTACAGAGACACGTAATTAGAAAATGTGCTTCACATATTTCCGCTGGATTAATTCGAAATATCGCAGGTTGTTATCAAAGGAGAAAAAGAGAGCTGTTACTCTTTATCTCATAGCAAAGATTCCATAATTTAAAATTCAGATCCGTAAAATGAGGGAATAAATTATATACATAAAATTTTGCAGTGCATTAAAAAAGAAAAGACTAAACTGGTTTATACTTAATTTTGCAGAATTAATGATACGGTGCATTTATGAAATGCAAGGAAAGTCCATAAATTTTATTTGCCTTTCGAAAATTCAATTTGGGTAACTTAAATTGTATTACGCGTAGTGTACACTAATTGTAGCGCAAAATTTATGGCAATTTAGCGTTTAGAATTGGCCGATCTCCTTCCCTGACTAAACAATCAAATTCAATCAAGAGGTTTGGGAACGTTTCATTAAGAATTTGGAGTGTAGCGTTTGTACCAATAAAAGGACCGTCATCATTAAATGGCTTGTCGTTAAATGGGAAGTTCCATAAACGAAGGCACCCACTTCTGCGTGCCATACTCATCTAATCAATAGTACTATACCAGTACCATAATTCAAAAAATATTTATTAAATGTTAAATAATAAGTATGCAAATAAAGAGCGAGCAAATTTTATTTTATTTTATTAATTTAATGTCAAAAAGTGTAACTTTAAAATTGAAATATTTTTCCATCTTTTTTTTTTAATTTTGTTCTCCGTTTCGCAGGCATTCTGAAGTGGTCTAACTGTTAGGTATAGTTTTTATTAAAGGAACACATTTCGTGCAAATATAGTTACACTAAATTAGATAAAGAATTTCAAGTGACAACTTAAAGATAAGGAAGAGGTCGTTTCTTCTTCAGTTGAACGAGCTTGAATAATATTGTTTACGAAATTTAGTGATATTTTCCTTTTGCGCCTGCAAACACGTAGCGTGTTATGATTAATCATAGATCCGAGGCAGCGACACTCTAGCTGCCCAGGCTTTTAGTAACGTTTCCCTAATATTGCAGCCTAGTTTCATCGGTCGGTCAAATGACACACCAATGAGTACTCATACTGACATAATACTATTCGACCTGTTGTCTATCACAGTCAGTGTCACTCGATCCTTCAACCCCTACCACCAGTAGAGCTATCAGCAAAGTTAGTGATATGTTCGAATAATTCTTCCTAATGAATGTGACCTTATGTCGTAAATGCTTTCTGATAATAACTCTACTAAAAATATTCATTTACATATGCGCATTCATTTGAATAATTATACTCAAAGGATTTCCCCGATCTGCCACAATTCTAGGAATCCATGTGGTATTACAATGAACACTTGAAAGATCGTTCGCAAGATCGTTTTTATTTTTGTTCTACAAGTAGTTACTAAATGGTTTCAAACATTTAGATAGGACTTCTAGATTTCTTACCTAAGAATCTCATTAATTTCGTATTGCTGTCGTTGATGTCTCATTTCCAAACGAAACAACGTTAAAGTAAAACTATCAGGTACAGCGCGAGTATTAAAAACCCAATGAAATCGAAGTATCCACATTTTCTAATTCAATTCATCGTCAAACAAATGGTCCTAAATCGAATCTTCCCCACAGTGTCGCGCGGCGAATCATTCCTATCGGCCGATTGGCAGAGCCGTTCACAGCTAGCAATTCCTAAACTTATTTCTAGTAACACACACATCGCGTTGTCGGCGATAAATATTCCATATTCATTTCGGCTGACAACGTCCCAATGGCACGGGAGAAGAAGAAATGGTTCTCGAACGTTATCAGAGCGGTTATCACCGTGTGAGCGCCGCTTAACGTAATCGCGTCTGCGCAATCGCGAGCGGTTCCGGTTGAACTGGTCTCCAGAGTTACCGCGTGCTGAAAGCCGCGGGTTGTTCCGCAAACCGCAGTACCCGCCGCGTCAGTCACCGTTAAAGCGAGAGGACCGGCGAGATCCAGTTCGAAATTATTTCACGCCCGATCCCGTCGAGCTCCCATCTCAGTTTTCACTGTTTCACGAGCCGCCTCGTTTGTTCCTTCGACAGTTCTTTCGGACAAATACGACCAGACCCCCCCGAGGACCCCGCCACCAGTACAGATGGAAGAAAGCATGGACGTAACGTCGGTGAGTGCCGTCCGA